AGTACCGCGGTGTTTGTTGGACTGAGTGCCGCGGTGTTTGTTGGACGGAGTGCCACGGTGTTTGTTGGACTGAGTACCGCGGTGTTTGTTGGACTGAGTACCGCGGTGTTTGTTGGACGAGTGCAGTGTTTGTTGGACTGAGTACCGCGGTGTTTGTTGGACTGAGTACCCGGTGTTTGCTGGACGAGTGCCACGGTGTTTAGTGAGTGCCGGTGTTTGGTGGACTGAGTGCCACGGTGTTTGTTGGACTGAGTACCGCGGTGTTTGTTGGACTGTGCCACGTGTTTGTGGACTGAGTCCACGGTGTTGTATTTTGTACAGTGCCACGGTGTTTGTGACTGATACCGCGGTGTTTGTTGGACTGAGTACCGCGGTGTTTGTTGGACAGGTGCACGGTGTTTGATGGACTGAGTGCCGCGGTGTTTGGTGGACGGTGCCACGGTGTTTGTGGACTGAGTACCGCGGTGTTTGGTGGACGGAGTGCCACGGTGTAGTCCCGGTGTTTGGTGGACTGAGTACCACGGTGTTTGTTGGACTAGTGCCACGGTTTGGTGGACTGAGTGCCACGGTGTTTGGTGGCTGAGTGCCGCGGTGTTTGTGGACAGGTGCCGGTGTTTGTTGGACTGAGTACGCGGTGTTTGGTGGACGGAGTGCCACGGTGTTTGGTGGACACGAGTGTCACGGTGTTTGGTGGACTGAGTGTCACGGTGTTTGGTGGACTGAGTGCCACGGTGTTTGGTGGACCGGTGTCACGGTGTTGGTGGACTAGTGCCACGGTGTTTGTTGGACGGAGTGCCAGTGTTTGGACTGAGTGCCACGGTGTTTGGTGGACTGAGTGCCACGGTGTTTGGTGGACGGAGTGCCACGGTGTTTTGGTTGTGAGTATCGCGGTGTTTGGTGGACTGAGTGCCACGGTGTTTGGTGGACTGAGTGCCACGGTGTTTGTTGGACTGAGTGTAGGTGTTTGGTGGATGGGTGCCACGGTGTTTGGTGGACTGAGTGCACGGTGTTTGGTGGACTGAGTGCCACGGTGTTTGTTGGACTGGAGTGTCACGGTGTTTGGTGGACTGAGTGCCACGGTGTTTAGTGGACTGAGTGTCACGGTGTTTGGTGGACTGAGTGCCACGGTGTTTGTTGGCTGAGTGCCACGGTGTTTGGTGGACTGAGTACCACGGTGTTTGGTGGACTGAGTGCCACGGTGTTTTGTGGACGGTGCCACGGTGTTTGTTGGACTGGAGTGCCACGGTGTTTGGTGGACTGAGTGCCACGGTGTTTGGTGAACTAGTGCCGGTGTTGTGACTGAGTGTCACGGTGTTTTGATGGAAGTGCCACGGTGTTTGGTGGACTGGTGCCACGGTGTTTGGTGGACTGAGTGACGGTGTTTGTTGACTGAGTGCCACGGTGTTTGGTGGACTGAGTGCCACGGTGTTTGGTGGACCAGGTGCCACGGTGTTTGGTGGACTGAGTGCCACGGTGTTTGGTGGACTGAGTGCGGTGTTTGGTGACGAGTGCCAGTGTTTGGTGGACGGACACGGTGTTTGACGAGTGCCGTGTTTGTGGACTGAGTGCCGGTGTTTGTGGACTGAGTGCCACGGTGTTTGGTGACTGTACGTGTTTGTGGACTAGTGCCACGGTGTTTGTTGACTGATGCCGTTGTTTGGTGAACTGAGTGCCACGGTGTTTGGTGGACTGAGTCACGGTGTTTGTTGACTGAGTGCCACGGTGTTTGGTGGACTGATGCCACGGTGTTTTGGTGGACCGAGTGCCACGGTGTTTGTGGACGGAGTGCCACGGTGTTGGTGGACTAGTGCCACGGTGTTTGTTGGACTGAGTGCCACGGTGTTTGGTGGACTGAGTGCCACGGTGTTTAGTGGACTGAGTGCCGGTGTTTGACGTCCCGTGTTTGGTGAACAGGTGCCGGTGTTTGGTGGACTGATACGCGGTGTTTGTTGGACGGAGTGCCACGGTGTTTGGTGGACTAGTACCGCGGTGTTTGTGAGAGTGCCACGGTGTTTGGTGGACGGAGTGCCACGGTGTTTGGTGGACGAGTGCCACGGTGTTTGGTGGACTGAGTGCCGCGGTGTTTGTTGACGGAGTGCCACGGTGTTTGGTGGACTGAGTACCGCGGTGTTTGGTGGACGGAGTGCCACGGTGTTTGGTGGACTGAGTACGCGGTGTTTGGTGGCCGGAGTGCCGGTGTTTGTGGACTGAGTACGGGTGTTTGTGACGGAGTGCCACGGTGTTTGGTGGACTGAGTACCGCGGTGTTTGGTGGACGGTGTGCCGGTGTTTGGTGGACTGAGTGCCACGGTGTTTAGTGGACTGAGTGCCACGGTGTGGATGAGTACCCGGTGTTTGTTGGACAGGTGCCACGGTGTTTGGTGGACTGAGTACCGCGGTGTTTGGTGGACGGAGTGCCACGGTGTTTGGTGGACTGGAGTGCCACGGTGTTGTGGACTGAGTGCCACGGTGTTTGGTGGACTGAGTGCGGTGTTTGGTGGACTGGTGCTGCCGGTGTTTGGTGAACTGAGTGCCACGGTGTTTGGTGGACTGAGTGCCACGGTGTTTGGTGACTGAGTGCCACGGTGTTTGGTGACTGATGCCACGGTGTTTGGTGGACTGAGTACGCGGTGTTTGTTGGACTGAGTGCCACGGTGTTTGGTGAACTGAGTCCACGGTGATTGGTGGACTAGTACCGGTGTTTGGTGGACAGAGTGCCACGGTGATTGGTGGACTGAGTACCGCGGTGTTTGGTGGACTGAGTACACGGTGTTTGGTGGACGAATGACACGGTGTTTGGTGGACTGAGTGCCACGGTGTTTGGTGGACTGAGTACCGGTGTTTGGTGATGGCTGAGTACCACGGTGTTTGGTGGACTGAGTGCCACGGTGTTTGGTGGACTGGAGTGCCACGGTGTTTGGTGGACTGAGTGCGGTGTTTGGTGGACTGAGTACCACGGTGTTTGGTGACTAGTGCCGGTGTTTGGTGGACCGAGTACCGGTGTTTGGTGGACTAGTGCCACGGTGTTTGGTGGACTGAGTACCGCGGTGTTTGGTGGACTGGAGTGCCACGGTGTTTGGTGAACTGAGTGCCACGGTGTTTGGTGGACTGAGTGTCACGGTGTTTGGTGGACTGAGTGCCACGGTGTTTGGTGAAGGAGTGCCACGGTGTTTGTGGACTGAGTACCACGGTGTTTGGTGAACTGAGTGCCAGGTGTTTGTTGGACTGGTGTCACGGTGTTTGGTGGACTGAGTGCCACGGTGTTTGGTGGTCAGGTGCCCACGGTGTTTGGTGAACTGGGTGCCGGTGTTTGGTGGACTAGTGCCGGTGATTGGTGGACTAGTGCGGTGTTTGGTGGACGGAGTGCCACGGTGATTGGTGGACTGAGTGCCACGGTGTTTGGTGAACTGAGTACCACGGTGTTTGTTGGACTGAGTGCCACGGTGTTTGGTGGCTGAGTACGCGGTGTTTAGTGGACTGGTACCACGGTGTTTGTTGGACGGAGTGCCACGGTGTTTGGTGGACTGAGTACCGCGGTGATTGGTGGACTGGTGCCACGGTGTTTGGTGGACTGAATGCGGTGTTTGGTGAACTAGTGCCACGGTGTTTGGTGGACTAGTGCCGCGGTGATTGGTGGACTAGTGCCGCGGTGTTTGGTGGACTGAGTGCCACGGTGTTTGGTGAACTGAGTGCCACGGTGTTTGTTGGACTGAGTGTCACGGTGTTTGGTGGACTGAGTGCCACGGTGTTTGGTGGACTAGTGCCACGGTGTTTTGGTGAACTGAGTACCACGGTGTTTTGTGGACTGATGCCACGGTGTTTGGTGGACAGTGCCACGGTGATTGGTGGACTGAGTACCACGGTGTTTGGTGGACGGAGTGCCACGGTGTTTGGTGAACTGGTGCCACGGTGTTTGGTGGACTGAGTACCACGGTGTTTGTTGGACTGAGTGCCGCGGTGATTGGTGGACTGAGTACCGCGGTGTTTGGTGGAGCAGTGCCACGGTGATTGGTGGACTGGGTACCACGGTGTTTGGTGGACGAGTGCCGGTGTTTGGTTGACACGGTGTTTGGTGGATGAGTACCACGGTGTTTGTTGGACTGAGTACCGCGGTGATTGGTGGACTGAGTACCGCGGTGTTTGGTGACTGAGTGCCACGGTGTTTGGTGGACGGTGCCACGGTGTTGGTGGACTGAGTGCATGGTTGGTGGACTGGTGCCGCGATGTTTGGTGACGGAGTGCCACGGTGTTTGGTGAACTGAGTGCCACGGTGTTTGGTGGACTGAATCACGGTGTTTGGTGGACTAGTACCACGGTGTTTGGTGGACTGAGTGCCACGGTGTTTGGTGGACAGTGCCACGGTGTTTGTTGGACTGAGTATCACGGTGTTTGGTGGACTGGTGCCACGGTGTTTGGTGGACTGAGTGCCACGGTGTTTGGTGAACTAGTGCCACGGTGTTTGGTGGACTGAGTGCCACGGTGTTTGGTGGACTGGTACCAGGTGTTTGGTGGACGGAGTGCCACGGTGTTTGGTGGACTGAGTGCCCGGTGTTTGGTGGACTGAGTACCACGGTGTTTGGTGGACTGAGTACCACGGTGTTTGGTGGACTGAGTGCACGGTGTTTGGTGGACTGGAGTGCGCAGTGTTTGGTGGACTAGTGCCACGGTGTTTGTGACGGAGTACCACGGTGTTTGGTGGACTAAGTGCCACGGTGTTTGGCGACGTGCCACGGTGTTGGTGAACTAGTGCCACGGTGTTTGGTGGACTGAGTGCCACGGTGTTTGGTGGACTGAGTACCACGGTGTTTGGTGGACGAGTGCCACGGTGTTTGGTGGACGGAGTGCCACGGTGTTTGATGGACTGAGGTGCCACGGTGTTTGGTGGACTGAGTACCACGGTGTTTGGTGGACTGGTGCCACGGTGTTTGGTGGACTGAGTGCCACGGTGTTTGGTGGACAGGTCTACGGTGTTTGGTGGACTAGGACACGGTGTTTGGTGAACTAAGTGCCGGTGTTTGGTGGACTGAGTGCCGCGGTGTTTGTTGGACTGGAGTGCCACGGTGTTTGGACTAAGTGCCGCGGTGTTTGGTGGACTGAGTGCCGCGGTGTTTGGTGGACTGAGGTGCCACGGTGTTTGATGGACTGGGTGCCACGGTGTTTTAGTGGCTGAGTGCCGATGTTTGATGGATGGGTGCCGGTGTTTGGTGGACAGTGCCACGGTGTTTGGTGAACTAGTGCCACGGTGTTGGTGGACTGAGTACCGCGGTGTTTGTGGTGGACTGCACGGTGTTTGGTGGACTGAGTGCCGTTGTTTGGTGGACTGGGTGCCACGGTGTTTGGTGGACTGAGTGCCACGGTGTTTGGTGGACTAGGTGCCACGGTGTTTGGTGAACTGAGTGCCGGTGTTTGGTGGACTGAAGTACCGCGGTGTTTGGTGGACTGAGTACCGCGGTGTTTGGTGGACTGAGTGCCGCGGTGTTTGGTGGACAGGTGCCGTTGTTTTGGTGGACTGAGTGCCGCGGTGTTTGGTGGACTGAGTGCCACGGTGTTTGGTGGACTGAGTGTCACGGTGTTTGGTGAACTGAGTACGGTGTTTGTTGGACTGAGTGCACGGTGTTTTGGTGGACTAGTACCGCGGTGTTTGGTGGACAGGTGCCACGGTGTTTGGTGGACTGAGTGCACGGTGTTTGGTGAACTGAGTGCCACGGTGATTGGTGGACTGGTGTACCGCGGTGTTTGGTGGACAGAGTGCCACGGTGATTGGTGGACTAGTACCGCGGTGTTTGGTGGACTAGTACCGCGGTGTTTGGTGGACTGAGTGCCATGCAAGAAGAGCTAGGAGTAAGAGAACACGTAAGTAATGAAACAAAACACAAAATAGATAATTAGAGACACAGGTAATAACGGAATAAAATATAATCATGGAAGAATTAAGAGACAGAAAAGGAAAAATCGCGTGAATTTTCTCCCCTCCTGATAGGTGAGGTGGTGAGTAGTTTGGTTCATCAGTCTGTTTGTTTCAAATGCACTGAGCTGAGGACGTTGAAACCTCATCTGAAATGGGTTGGTGGGAGTCATGAGC